TATGGGTTCCCTCCATCGAGCAAAAAGATAAAAGAGGGAATGTAAAGGTAGTGGGGACAAAAATATTGTTAGACAGGAAGTGCTATCTTGAGAGGCCACTTTAAACAAGGATAGACTGTCTCTTTCCTTGTTTAAGAAGTCAAATTTAGTTTGGTTATGTTATTGTTTGTCCCAATTGTCACATGAAATTTTATTTATATTGAAGTTTTTTACCAATTGTGTCACTTTTTAGACTATTATCGTTAATATTTAATTAAAACTTTCTTGTCTGAAAAATATTTTACAGCTATTGTTAACAAGTGTTGGAAAATTTAAATTTAGCGCCTTTGCATTTCCGGATATGCCCGCCATCAGAGGCCACTTTTTTGGTCTCCTTTTCATAACGATTAGATTCCCTCTTTTATCTTTTTGCTCGATGGTTCCCTCACACGTCCGAATAACAGGAAATGAAGAAGCTGGCAGAACGACTGCACAAGAGGCAATTTTAAGTGATTTGTTGGAGCCGATAGATAAGTGTGTTTCCAGTGAAAGTTTCCAATAAAAGCTTATTTTAAACATAAAGTGTGGTGTTTGTGGCGAAGTGAGTGGTCTCAAACTAATTCCAATCTAAATAAAATCAAAAATAATGTGTCTCAGTGGTTTCCATCGTCGCGCAGTAGACGAAAACAAATTGCGGTTGCGCGTTTACGTCTAGGACATGCCAGATTAACGCACTTCTACCTTTTCACAAATAAAAATCCACCTATATGTGATCAGTGTAACGCCCGATTGACAGTCGAACACTTTTTAATAATTTGTAGTAAATATGACCAAGAATTTGCAGCCAATTAACAGAAAACCAATTGTTTGGGTTAACTGCACTTCTGCTGACCTCTTAAGAGCAGCGGCGTCGAAAGTGCGAATTGTCATGGTGGTTGCCAACCTTCTTGGAGGAGATGGCACGTGAAGAAGAAGAAAATGACCAAGAAAGACAGCGCTACAAGATCCCAAACGCTCTACCACATGCTCTAGGTCAAAGCTGTTCCTGTGACAATATAGTGAATTATCTTAGATCCATAAACATTTTGTACAATCTGTAGGTATTTAACATTGTTATTTATATTTTGTTTCGTTGCTAATAACCTTTTGTTGGATGCGACATCTTTTTTCTAATAAAAAAATATATGAGACTTTAAAAATAAACAAGGAAACAGAATAAAAAATAAAAAAGAAATAATACAAAGATGTAAGGAATACTTCAAGGAAATATATATTGGAGAAATTACAAAGCAGAAATTGGAAACACTCTAAAACCTTTTGTTTTTAAAAAATGGAAAAGCCATAGGAATCGAAAATATATACCCATAAGTCTAATAAATTCAGATATTGAGCAATCAATAGAAATGTTACATATACTTTTGAACAAGATGTTTTTTTTACTAGAATTATTTTAATTAAATGATCTAAAGAAAAATTTTCAAAGGAGTGGAAAGAGGTATTGATAATAAAAATATCGAAAAAAGGAGACCTGCGTGCAATATCACTATTAAAGACCGCATCCAAAGTTTTAAACAAATCATACTGGAAAGATTGATAGATAAAACTGAGAAGTAACCAAATAGGCTCCAGTCCACCATTGACCACATTTCCACCATTGATGAGAGTTTTATAGACTTTGACCGTGTAAATTGGGTACAGATGTGAAACATCCTAAGATTATATGGGATACCACTGAAAATCATAAACTTAATTAAACTCTTCTAGAAAGGATACAAGTCAAACTTAAACACCCAGGTAAAGTAACAGAAAAAATAGCCATAGAAAGTGGAGTAAAACAGTGTTGTATACTATCCCCTACACCATTCCTTTTTATGATAGATTGGGTAATGAGAAAAGTAACTGGTGATCGAACAAGCATCAGATGAAACCTATTCGAATAGTTAAAAGATCTCGAATTTGCGGATAATATCTGCCTACTAACTGAATAAATGAAGTCATATGCAAACAAAAATTGACAAGTTAGCACAGCACTCAGACACGATTCGACTCGAAATAAATACATACAAAACCAAACTCTTAAAAAATAGTAACCACTCAAATAATAAAATAATGATAAACGACGGTAAGAAAAGAAGAGGGAGGTGTAAAAAGGATATAAAGGTGAGAATAATAAAGGCTCAACATGCATTTAATGCTTTAAATAAAATTTGATAACTAAACGAAATATCAGAAACAACAAAATTAAAATTTTTAATAGTTGGATTAAAAGTATACTACTTTTTACACACCAGAAACATGGAAATAGCACGAATCTATAACTAAATAACTACCAACTTAAACCTTACTGTACCCTTGTAAACAAATGTTTAAGAAAAATCCAGAAATGTACTGGCCCAACAAAATAATTAATAAAAAACTATGGGAAAAAAACAAAGCAAATCAACATATTTACTATAGTCAAGGAAAAAAATGGAAATGGATTGGACATACTCCAAGGAAAGATAAAAGCAACATAACTAGACAAGCAGTTGAATACCAACCACAGGGGAAAATCAAGGGAGGAAAACCAGACAACTGGAAAAGAACTACAACACCAATAAATTAGAATAAGATGGGGTGAAACTAAAAACTGATGGAACTAAGTAATGGAAACTGAATACTTGGGAATAAAACTGTCAAGCTACGGAAAAGTGGAAAAATAAGTACAAAAATAAGTGAACATGGCAAACAGAGCAGCAGGATGTTTCAACAACATAATCTGGAGAAACAAATACCTCACAACGGAAACGAAAACCAGGATATATAAATCAACAATAAGACCGATAATGATATATACAGCGAAGACAAGAGCAGATACGGCGAAAACAAAAAGACTGCTGGAAACAACAGAAATGAAAGTCTTACGAAAAATAACAAACTAAACTCAAAGAGACAGAGTAAGAAGTGAGGAAATACGAGCGAGATGTGGTATAGAAGAAATAAACTCGTGGACCAAAAGAACAAAAGTGGAATGGAATCAACACATCGAAAGAACGATAGAAAATATAATAGTACGAATAGCAAGAGACAAATCGTCAAATGGAAGAAGATCATTGGGACGACCGAGGAAAAGATGGTCAGACAACGTCAATTGAGGCTAAAAACCGAAGTAAAACAGGCATTAAGACTATTTTTAAAGTAGAAAGATGAAGAAGAAAAAATTAAAAACAAAGCAAAAAATAGTAGAGAATTAATAAACTAGTACACAGTTTATCCAGAGAATAAATAAGAAAGAAGACGCGACGTCTCGACCAGTCAGAAATCTTACCCTTTGGCCATAAAACGCAAAAGTGACCAATAATTTATAAGGAGCGATGGAACTAGACACAGGGAGAGAGAGAGAGAGAGAGAGAGAGAGAGAGAGAGAGAGAGAGAGAGTTCTCTATTAAAAATCTATGTTTTTTATAATAAACTAAATATTTCGCTATTTATTTGATAGCTTCATCAGGAGTACACTGTAAAACAATTTTACCATTACAAAAATGGCGTACAAATACATTTAAAAAACTTGCAGAAATTAAAAGATTTTACAAATAAAAATTGAAATTGAAGTTTGTAATAAATGTCATGATACGATGAAAAAAAAAATTAAAATGACTTTAAATATAAAAATAAAAATAACAATAAAAGAAACGTTAGAAGAATGATATTTCTTTGATGAATTATTGTTAAGGTTAGTTATTACTAAGGTGAATATTAGCTATTTTTAATATTTATAAATTTTGTTCAATATATTGCAATATATGTTACTTAACTGTCCAGAGTCAGTTTTATAATTTAAAGTGTTTTTATTTTTGTTAATATGCTACATGTCAAGAAATAATCTTTTGTAGTTATCAGCTTTATGTAGTTTGTTGTTTATGAAATACCGTGTCTAGAATGTCAAAATAGCTACATTGGCCAAATATCACAATGGCTAAAACAACGCATCACACAACATAAAAGTGATTGTCGCTTGGGAAAGAATACTTGCGCAGTAGTTGAGCACTATGAAGACACCGGTCATGTGCTAGACTATAACAAAGGTCACATTTTGGCACAGGCTGATAAGTACAAAAGTAGATTATTTCTTGAGATGTATCACATTAACAAAAATAAAAACACTTTAAATTATAAAACTGACACTGGACACTTAAATAACATATATTGTAATATATTGAACAAAATGAATTAACATTGAAACGACCTAATATTCACCTTAATAACAATTAACCTTAACAATTCAGTAAAGAAATATAATTCGCACGTTTCTTATATTGTTATTTTTATATTTGTAGTTTTATGTTGTAATTTTTTTTATCATATTGCTGTGACGAACGTGCTTAAGACAATTTAATTATGACATTTATTACAATCTTTAATGTCAATTTTTATTTATAAAATCTTTCAATAATTTCTGTAAATGTTTTAAAATGTATTTGTACGCCATTTTTGTAATGTTAAAATTGTTTTACAATGTACTGATGAAGCTATCAAATAAATAGTGAGATATTTTGTTCGTTAGAAAAAAATAAAGATCTTTAATAGATACCACTTTACCTGATTATTCCTACGTGTTATATATATATATATATATATATATATATATATATATATATATATATATATATATATACATATATATATATATATATATATATATATATATATATATATATATATATTTATATATATATATATATAATAAAAATATATCATAATTTATTTAGAAACGGGTTAAATACAAAAGTTATTATGTATATTAAAACAAATATTGAAACCAGTAAATTTATGACATACAGGAAGATATTAATACAATCAAAAGCATACAAATGAAAAATTTACTATTACAACAATAAAAAGTAGACTAAAAATATAAAAGTCAAACCACCGTCTGTATTATAAAAATTGATAAATTTATATAAAATGCATATATCTGTATCTGAATTCAAGCTAAATCAAGTATACGTTACGGGATATAAAGGAAATATAAAAAAACATACCTGAAGGACCTATTTACACATTGCACAATTCTCTATGTCATAACACTAGAAGTAAATCAGATAAATATGCTCATTTATAGACTCCTCCGTAAATTCTACCAATAAATTTATGAATGCCGTTATTTACTTATTTATTTAAATTAAATAAATGATGGTCTGATGCCGTACAGTCCATTGTAAATTTGTAGTTAAGCAATTGTTACCAAACATGTAACAGAAGCTTTCTTGAATGCAAAATTTGAAGTGTGCACTTCAATTTTTGAATTGTAATTTTAAATTTGTAAAAGTGTGTCCATTTTTATTAACGTGGATACATCATATAACTTCAATATATTTTCTGATTGATAGCAACAATTTTCCTTGCCAATATTTGAAATAACTCTAATTTATGGGAAAAGTAAGTTTACATATTTTGCGACCAACCCTTTCTTTTAATATTTTTGGTATATTCTTTTAACATAATATACATGTTACACAATTATTACCAATATACAGGAAAGCTTAGAGGATTAAAAATATTTTGATATCGAATATAATATATCGCAATGTATATATATATATATATATATATATATATATATATATATATATATATATATATATATATATATATATATATATATATTGTGACGTTATAAATGTCACATATTTATTAATTTATATATAAATAATTATTTTATTTTAATTGCTTTATTAATTTATTAATACCTTAACCTTCAGCTTCGTTTTTTACTATTTTTTACGGCAGACTAGATATTCTGTTCTAGAAAAGACTATAAGAGATGCCGAGTTACACAATAGGGGAACAATCTTTAATAAATCAACGCAGATTATGGCTTACGCTGACGATCTGGATTTGATCGCACGTACTACACCAGGACTTAAAGAGATGACTTCCACCTTCTTGACAGCCGCACAAAATATGGGCCTTAAAATAAACGAGGAAAAAACCAAAATGTTAACATCTATTCCAAATAACAGAAATAGAGCTAGAAACTCCGAACAAAACTTCAGTATAGACCAATATAATTTTGAGGTAGTAAATAAGTTTACATATTTGGGTTCTCTCATAACAAACGATAATGACACATCTGAAGAAGTTAAACGGAGGGTACTGCTAGCAAACAAATGTTATTTTGGACTAAGCAAGCAGCTAAAAAACAGAAATTTAAGCCAAAAAACCAAACTAATAATATATCGAACACTCATCCTACCAGTGCTGACATATGGGTCAGAAACATGGACCATCTCCAAAACAGACGCAAATCTCCTGCTCGTCTTCGAAAGGAAGATACTAAGAAGAATAATGGGCGCATTCTGTGAGAATGGTATTTGGAGAAGGCGATATAATTTCGAATTGTACGAGAAGTATAAAAAAATAGTAAATGGTAAAGATATAATATCCTTCATAAAAATATGTAGGCTTAGATGGGCTGGACATGTGTCATGAGTAAATGAAAATTACCCACCCAGACGAACTCTACTATCGGTCCCAGTGGGAAATAGGAGTAGAGGCAGACCACGACTGAGATCGAGGGACGGTGTGGACGAGGACAAAAGGAAAATCGGCGCGGCAAATTGGCAACGGTTAGCGATGAACAGAAACGACTGGCGAAATAGACTGGGGAAGGTCAAGGCTCAACTATAGCTGTAGCACCACTGATGATGATGATGAGATATTCTGTTCTATTTTGACAAACGAGCTAATTTCATTATAGACATATGCTGTCACTATTGCATCTGTGCTATACTTCATTGTAGTCGCAACTTTTGTTTCAAGTGGTGGGATATTTCTTTGTGTGTTGTTGAAATTTATAAAAGAAGGAAATATGAAATAAGGTTTATTTTATGGTCAGCAGAAATCTCTTTGGGTTTATGGAATAGTTTATGAAAAAAAACTAAGTTCTGCTTTTCCTTTCGGAAGTAACCTCCGACAAACATCGTCGGCGATGATTTCAGGAGGTTACTCCGGAACATGTAAAACTAACCAACTAAGACTTCAGCTATCTTTAAGACCACTTAAATAACAAACACCTAAGACCTAACCACATAATCTGGAGGCAACAATATCCTAGACATCCATCGATGCCATAAGTATCATTTCATTTTATTGTAAAGCTATAAGCAGGGATTGCATGTGCAAACTAAATATCATTATTATATTTTATGCTAAATAAATATGATCGGTAAATTCATTGTTTTATTCGTTAACAACTGAATTTTCATTGTTTAATTCATTGTTTAAGACAAGACGGATTCACACTTGAGAGACTGATCTAGGCGAAGCATAGACGGTAAGGTCCCACAGTTAATTGAGGTAATATTTTATAATAGTATTTCAATTCTCTTTGGCAGTCTTATCGTTACACATTGGCATCCAAGGCCTGATTACAGGTTAAAGGATGCCATATCGTTACACATTGGCGCCCACGTAATTTATCTAATTCGAAGATTAGAGCTCTAAATTTTTAGTTTGGTAACAAAATGACAAGCATTAATAAATGCAATTTTTATATGTTTCAATATACTTATTTTATTCAGTAAATCTTAATATTGTCATACTTTTTGTACTTTTTGGCTACTTTTTATATATTAATATTAATTTTTACATGTTGGGTTAAAAAAATTACCATTTTCATATATTTAAGCATATTTGATTTCTGTTTAATACTCAGATATTTTTATATATTGATTTTTTATAATGGTACTTCTATATTCATTTAAATGGTCTGTTTTTTTAACTTAACCAGTTTTTGTGGATTGCGCACTCTAATAATTACTTTCTCAATTTTTTTAAAATTTTTTATTTAAGATGCTAACTAACATCTAAAGACAGATGAATTATCATACGAAATTCTTATTGGGGATGTCTCTGTCCCAAGTACAGTAGAGGTAAAATGAAAGATTTTTAGTGGACTTCTTTCTCAGAAAGCCAATAACCGGAATTTTTTCAGATATTTCGGTCAATTTATCTTTAGATGTTCATTACTAGTAAGCTTTAGCTTCCTATTAGGATCTGTCAGGTGTTATATCTAATTATTCAGGTACAAAATCTGATAGCAGATTCAAAACTTTTAGTTCTCGTGTAACTTATTTGTCTGATAGAATCTCCCATCTACAGTCAACTTCTGTAGAAGAAGAAAAACTAAAAAAGCTATCCTCTTTAATATGTTAAAATTAGGAGCTACTTTGTCTAATATTGTAGACCAACCTGTTGCTTCCACTCCTGATAGAATAAACCTTAATTATTCTCAATCTTTAACATCATCTGTAAAGTCTCTTCCTGTTTATAAATGGAGCCTTAAAACTTTTTCTGATAAAGAAACTCTAATTCCATTTTTGGAACAAATCGAAACTTTACAACTTTCAAGGAACTGCTCCGATGAAGATTTATTTATTCTGCAGGAGATTTATATAAAGGTACTGCTTTGAATTGGTGGCATACTAATTTCACAAAAAAATCTTTCAATTCATGGTCTGAATTAGTTGCTTCCTTAAAGGAAACTTATTAATCATATAACTATGAAAGAAATTTGGGCAAACAAATACGTTCCACAAAACAGTCTTTTAGTCAATCGGTCTCTGCACATATTTCTTGGAGTCTTTGATGCTCCGGTCTTCAAAATCAATTCCTGAATTTAAAAAAGTGGATGAAATCATTAATGGTCTTCTTCCTGACTATGTCAAGGCTCTTGCTTTCCTAGATGTGGAATCAGTTACATATCTTACAAAGCATTGTAAGAGATTTGAATCTGCTCTTACTATTTTGTCTCGCAGCAAATTTTCTGTTGAGTCTTTTTCTTCGTCTGCTATTTTTTGGAATTGCAACATGAAAGGCCATACTTTTCAAACGAGCAATAAACTCAAGAGAAAGTTTTGTCATGGTCATGGCTTTAAAAATATCACCACTTATGAATGTAAGAGATATTCAAAAAACGGTTTGCGGGGTCAAGCTTCGGCAGACTGCATTCCTTAAAGCAGCCACACGTCTGTCCCAGAAACATCAAGAAGGACATCCCAAGAAAAAGAAAAATTTTTCGAAAACGTTCAGACAAAGTCAGTGAGTGTTTCTAAGCAACTTATACCTAAAACTGCTTCTCATTCTATTTCTAATGATAATTTATGCACTTTTCTTAATAATAATCTGAAACTTTTTCTTTTTTTAGTTCTTCTGCTTTTTTAGTGGTCCTTTGAATTTTAAGGTACATTTCAATTCTGATCCATTACTTGATATTAATTCAGGTGAAGATTAATTCAACTTCCACAGTCCAAGGTTCATAGCATTTGGAACTGTGATTAAAAATGATTTTATGAATCAGTTTTAAATAAAAATTTTATTAAACAATTTGATCAAAAAACAATTATTTCATATATGTAATTGTAATATTGACAAAATAATCAATAAAATGTAAGATAAGATAAGAGAGAAATAAAAGATTTTCACCTGTGGCTGGATAACCACCAGTCACAACGTAGACTTTATTAATATACGATATTTTGGATTGACCTCGCTTGTTTGTTCATTGGTTTTCTCAGCCAATCATTGGCGGAAAAATGGTGCTCTTAACCACCTTTTTCTTTCATTTTTTGGTCTTTACTGACAAGTTGTCACCAAAATTTATCATATTATTTAAATGTACCGCTCTATTGCACTAGAGGTTGGTAACTCGCCTTGCTGTTCTGTCATATTTTGACCTCAAGGCCACTGTCTTTCTACATTGTTGGCGTGGGTTTTATATATGTTGCTTTCATTTACCTGCAGCGCCTAATAAGCTAAAGACTGGTAAATTCATTTTACTTTTAAATATTATATTTCAATCTTAATCTACTTAATAATGTTTAACTAATAATATACTGTTGGAAGTGCATCTTATGATCTATTTGGTTCTCTATATATTTATATTAATGTTTTTTGCTGAAGTTCTTTACCAATTTTTTTTTATATACATGTACAATTACCACATGGACTTTTGCCGTGCTAAGTTTGTTAATCTGTAAACTGTATCTAGTTTCAATTAATTGTTTATACAGCATAATTTCATAATGTCCATTATCGTAAGCTTTTTTACATATTTAATGTCATTGACTG